TAACATTTAGAATTGTTGTGTAATCGACAATGGTGATTGGAGGAAACATAAAAAATTTTTCTTTTAATTAATAAATTTGTGTTAGGGATCATGAAGTATAATAACTTGTAATATAATGAAAATTAATTAATTCAACTTATTGAAAATAATTGAAAAAAAAAAAGATTTGTAGAAATGATAATGATTACTTGATTACTTGATAATATTTTCGGTGCAATCCAAATGACTTTCGAATTAATCTTTAATAAAATATTTTTTATAAATATTTATATTTATATTTTATTATAAAACCAAAAAATTTCAATAAATAAACTTAAATTTTATAGTAATAGATATTTAGTTGTATAATTTTTTCAAATTAATGAAAGGTAAAAAAAAAAAAAAAAAAATTACAGTTAATCGAAAAAATGAGCCAACCAGGAGTGCCTAAAATAATGGTTTTCAGACCGACTTATGAGGAGTTTAAAGATTTTAAAGAATATATACAGTATATGGAATCACAAGGGGCTCACAAAGCTGGATTGGCAAAAGTTGTCCCTCCACCTGAATGGGTTCCAAGGTAAATAAATAATAATATTTATTTAATTATTGAAAACAACAATTTTTAAAAAAATTACATTTCGTATTTTCAAAATCCTAGGAAATCAAAATATGATATAAAAGATATTGGCCACTTGATAATACCTGCACCAATTTGTCAGGTAGTCACAGGAAAACAAGGCCTATATCAGCAAATAAACATTCAAAGGAAACAAATGACAATAAAAGAATACAAAGAATTGGCAGAAAATCCAACGTAGGTTTTACAACAAAAAAATTCACTTTAAAAAAAATTTTCACGGTGTCTGCATCACAAAAATTTTTTTATTATTTCAGTTATAGAACTCCAGCACATTTTGATTATGGAGATTTAGAAAGAAAATATTGGAAAAATATAACGTACGTCCCTCCAATCTATGGAGCTGATGTATCTGGTTCCCTCACAGATCCAGAAGTCGATGTTAGTCTATAAAACCAAAAAAATTATAATGATGTAATTTAAATAATCGTTTTTAAATTTATTCAAATGGAATATTTATAACAATTCCAGGTCTGGAATATTAATAGGTTGGGAACCATACTTGATTTAGTAAATCAAGATTATGGTATAAGCATAGAAGGAGTTAACACTGCTTACTTATATTTTGGAATGTGGAAAACGACATTTGCGTGGCACACGGAGGATATGGATTTGTACAGTATTAATTACTTACATTTCGGTGCTCCGAAAACATGGTAAATTTTGTCCATTTTTTTAAAATTATTATTTATTTAAATTCGTGGGTAAAAAAATATTTGATTTTTCACGCAGGTATTCCATTCCTCCAGAACATGGTAGGCGATTGGAAAGACTGGCTACGGGTTTTTTTCCTTCCAATGCGAGGAGTTGTCTTGCATTTTTGAGACATAAAACAACCCTTATATCACCACCAATTTTAAAACAATATTCTATACCTTACAATAAGGTAAATGAACAAAAAAAAAAAAAAATTACACGTATATAAATATGGTTGTGGGATGAAGAGAGAGAGGACGGTGAAATATCATTCAATTATTATTATTATTATTATTGCAGATTACTCAAGAGGAAGGAGAAATAATGATAACGTTTCCATACGGTTACCATGCGGGTTTTAATCACGGTTTTAATTGTGCCGAAAGTACCAATTTTGCAGCTCCAAGATGGGTTGAATATGGTAAAAGAGCATCGCAGTGTAATTGCCGGTGAGAAAAAAAAATTTTCCACCCAATTTTTTTTTTTTTAAATGTTTTCTGCATCGCATCGTTTTATTTTTTATAATAATCTTTTCCAGGGGAGACATGGTTAAAATCAGCATGGACACGTTCGTGAAACGTTTTCAACCGGACAGATACGAATTGTGGTTGGCTGGAAAGGACGTGGGTTATCACCCGGAAGATCCTACGAGAGCTTATGCGGCACCCTCGCCGAGCGAAGTAGACATATTGTGTAACAAAAAGTAAGGGAAATTTTCTCGAAAAATTGTTTTAATTAATTAATTCTGATGTCTGTTATTTTATTTTTTTCTTTCCATTTTTCCCAGTAATACTTATCTTCCGCAAGCTTTTCTAAACGCTCCGAAAAAAGGTGCCAAAAGGCATTTGATTTATAAGAAAAAATCAAATTTCGATAAAAATGTTGACGAAGAAAAGAAGGACGAATTTCCGGAAGATGTTAAAAAAGCAATTGAAGATATTGAAATGGATGATGAAATACCTGACGAACAACAGTGGCAAGTTTTGGAGGATATTTGGTTGAAAGCCGGAGAAATGGGTTAGTAATAGGAAAAAAAAAAAAAAAAATTTTTCTTTTTTTCTTTTTTTTTTTTTTTTTTCTCGCTTCTCTTTTTCCTCTTCACCGGTGAAGGTTTTGTTTTTGTTTTTTGTTTTTTTTTTTTTTTTTTGCTTTTAAACGTTTGTTTTTTTTTTTTTTATTATAAATTTCAAACGAGGAGTAATTTTCTAGGTTGTAAATAATTAAAAAAAAAAAAAAAATTTAACAGTAACAGAAAAGGTTCACTTCTCGATAAAAAAAGGATTATTAAAAATGATTTTTTTTTTTTTCAAGGTAGACCTGGACTTTTTTCACGCCAAAAAAAAAAAATTGTATTAGTATTTAGTATTATTATTAACGCTCTTTAAAATATTTTTAAAAAAAGCTAAAATGGTTTTAAAGGTTTTTGAAACAGAAAAAAAAAAAGGATAATTTTGAATTTCTTACACTCACATATGTATTTATTATATACGTGATAGCATTTTTTTTTTTTTTTTTTTTTTTTTTTCATTGAAAACTATATCGTCTGCTTAGGGGATTCAATTTATCCTTTTTACGGGGATCAATTTACGGATGTAAATTTTTAACGTTTATTAACACGTGTGTATATAAATTGTACATAATAAAAATGATGGGGATAATTTTTTTTTTAATTTTTAATTTGATTGCTTCTTTTTAATTAAGTGATTGATTATTAATTAACGACGTCAATGAGTGATAGAAAGAAAGAAAGAAAGAAAGAAAGAAAAGAACAATCGATTGTGTTGTTTTAAAATTTAAATCGTTTGTGGTTCATCGTGGAAATAACAAAAAAAAATGGTGTAATTAATTGAATCGAAAGAATAATTAAAAAAATTTTATTGATATGTGTTATATAGCCGTTCACGTTCACGTTCGAACGTATGCACGTGCAAGAGGTTAAAGTGGTACTATATGATGATGATGATGATCGTCGAAGAAATATTATATAAAATATGTTTATTTATTTTTATTTTTTATTTTTGAAGATGGAAGATGAAGGTGTCGAGAAGTGACACATCGGGTAATCATTTGTCAAAGAAAGAAAAGTGTTCCGTTAAGAATTTTTGAACAAAAAAAAAAAAAAAAAAAAAAAAGATGTTACGGTTTTATAAGATTATTACGCGCGTTTTTCATTTTTTTACGGAAGCGGAAATAGAGTAAAAGGAAAAAAAAAAAATGGAAATTCGTGATTGGAAAATTAAAGGAGACTTTTTTTTTTTTTCTCTCTCTCCATATGTGTGCGTAAAAAAATGTGTGCGTGTGCGAGTTTCTCTGTAAGGAAAAAGTCTGGGTCACATTTCCCACGTTCTTTTTTTTTTTTTTTTTAATAATAATAACACTGTTATTATTATTATTATTTTCTTCGTGCGAAGAAAACAAAAAGAAAAAAAAAAAGAAAAAAAAAAAAAAGGAAAAGCTGTGTAAAAATCTCGATCGAGAAATTGAACTTTAATTTTTCACGATGTTTCTTTCGATTCGCGATTTGTCATATCGATATATATATTTTCTTTTTTCATTTATTTATTTATTTTTTTCTCTCTTTTGAATGTTTAAAAAAAAAAAAAAAAAAAAACGCATTATGTATTATTACTATTACTATTATTATTATTATTATTACTGCTATTATTATTTGTTATCGTCAAGGTTTACAAATGGTAATAAATTTGTAATGATTTTTAGAATTGGAGGAAGCTTCCATATTTGACGACGGCTACATGAAGAAAAAGAGAAAAAAGAAAAAGGGAAGTGAAAAAATTAAAAAACCGTCAAAGTTAAAAAAAAATCATTCAAAGTTAAAAAAGAAAAAAGTCGAGAAAAAATTAGACGTGAGAAAAAAATTGGATTCCGTCGTTAATGTTCCTCTCTCGATATTGAACAAACAAAAAGTGAGTGAAAACGCATCGATGAGAACAATGTCGAGTGAAAATTTTTCCGTTTTCCAAGAGGTTAAAGGAACTCTTAAGAGAATAATTAAAATAATCGAAGAGCAAGCCAAGCAGGAAAAAATTGAACAGTACAAAAGGGAAAAAGAACAAAGGCAAGCTGAAAAACTCGAAGAGAAAAAGAAAAAGGATCACGAGAAAGAATTGAAAAGGAAATGGAGAGAAGAAAAAGAATTTACGGATAGGAATGCGGGTGGGACCGACACGGTGTTGACGCAAAGATACGAAACGAATTTGTCGGTTAACATGAAGGAGGGAAACGGGGCGGAGGATGTGTGTAATTTCACATACGATTACATGAGGAAAAAGATGAAAAAGTCAAGGCATCATTGTAAGAAACATTCCGATGGGTCTCACTGCAAAAGAAAAAGAAAGAAGAAAGAACACGATTTCATGAAAACGGATTCTGGATTTCCAATTCAAAAGGAAAAATTGGAAACATCCGAAGTTGTTTTTCCCAACAGCATGGAAATCGGAGAAACGGTAGAAATATCGACGGAATATGGCGGCGACAACGCACCCACGTTGTCATCGCCTTTCAAACAAAACAATTCCGTTTCTTTTAAAGAGGAAAAGAAAGAGGAAAACATTTTCGCTAGCAAACCAAAGAAAGGGGAATTCGAGTTCATGGACGAGTACCTGAAATTCATGGCGCGAGAAAATGAGACGAGTCCCGCGCCGAGTCCTCCTCCGAGAGTTTTGACGAAGGTGGAAAAACCCGCGAGACCCACGACGATTGTTTTACCTCAGCAGCGAAAACCTCGGAAAGAAGTCAGGCAACAGGGTGCTCTCATGAAAAGCGCACAAAAACTTTTAAAAAGTTTACCCAAACATTCACGGAGGCCCCCCGATACGACGGTGGACAATTCGACGAATAGAATTTGGGTTTCGAGTACGCTTCAGCGTTCGACGGCGTCGTCGGGTTCATCGTCGTCGGCCACGGGTTCGTCCAATCAAACAAAAACGAGCAACAGCGTACCAAAGGGGCATCCGTGTTTCACGATAGAGTCAAAACCCAAAGAAACGACTCCGCCATTCAAAAGACTGTTCGAGAGTAAAAGCGTGACCACTTCTTTTACTCAAAACACGTTTTCAAACGTTGGAAATGGGAACGCGTACAAAACGGCAGACGGACAACAACAACAGCAGCAGCAGCAACTATCGTCTGCAATCCCGACGACGACGACCGTAAATAAAAATTACATTCAGTTCAATCCGAAAATAATCAGGCCTCCCGTGCTTCAAGTGAGTTCGACAAACTTATCGAGAACAACAAATCAAAATAATTGGATCATGTTGAACAGGAAAACGGAAACGAGTCAACAAACAAAGGGAGTCAATTATCTGACGCTGAACTCGTCCAGGGATAAAATAATAGCGCTACCAAAAAGTTTTGTGGGAAATTTCGGGGGTGGTGCGAACGGCGGGTTGACGGTTGACGGTTCCAAAAGCATATACATAAAAAGGAACGGAGGACCGTTGCCGTCGACGTCTTTACTGATCTCAAATCCGAAGAAACTCGCGACGGTACCCGCCGTCGTCATGAAATGTGATAATAATAATTCTTTGCTTTCCGTCACGAATTCGAATTCCGCACAGCTGTCGAAATCGTTCGTGCAAAAAGTGCCGGGTCAATCGTCGTCTTATTTGATTTTTCCACAACATACGACGACTCAGTCGAACGGTACCACAATCGGAACCAGCACCACCACCACCGGAAGCATCATAAGTGGAGGCGGTAATGGTGGTAGTGATGGTGGTGCAAGTGTCGGCGATGGTGGTATCGGTGGTAATAATAAAGGGAACGCGTTAAATTTCAAAATTACCGGACAGAACGAAAAATACGTGTCGGTAATTAAAAATAATACAAACAAAAGCCAAAGGTTTCAATTTGCCAACGGTTCGGAAAATTCTAACATTTATTGACTCTGATGATGATGATGATGATGATGATGATTTTGTTCGAAAACGTCGTCGTCGTCGTCGTCACCGACGCTGTCGCTGCCGCCGCCGGGTTATTTATTATTCACAACACGCGCGCTCTCATTCAAAAATATCGCGATATTAATCATAAATACAGTATTATGACGTAACGTTCGAAAACCGTTACAAAAATAATCAATCAATCAATCAATCACAATAATTTTAATCTTAATGTTGGTAATTAAAAAAAAAAATTTAACGTTTTCTAGTCAAAAACTTGTAATAGTTGGTTGTTTTCAAATGTTTCGTCATCACATTTTTTTTTTTTTTTGCCCCTCTCTCTCTCTCTTTCTGTCTCTTTGTCTCTCTCTCTCTCTCTCTCTCTCACCGAACGGAAGTGAAAATAGTGTCACAGTAGAAAAATAGTCTTTAAATACGTTTTCGAGTTTGAAAAAATAAAACGAGAAAACTTGTTACTTTTTTTTTTTTTTTACCGTGTTTAAATTTTATCAAAAAGTTAATAATAATAAGAAGAAAAAAAGTGTAAATAGATAATAATAATAATAATAATAATAATAATAATAATAATAATAATAATAATAATAATAATAATAATAATAATAAAGTAGTAGTAGTAGTAATAGTAATCATTAGTCGAAACATTTGTTAGAAAGAGAAATTTTTTTTTTTTTCTATTTCCGCTTTTCTTTCTTTCTTTCTTTCTTTCATTCTTTCTTTTGTAACGAAAATGTTTTAATGAAAAAAAAAGAAAAAAAAATCATGTAAATAATTTAAAAAATAAAATAAATGTATTGAAAAGAAAAAAAAAAAAAAGAAAAAAATTTTTTTATGGTGTTTGTTGTGGTTGTTGTGGTTGTTGTTTGTTGTTGTTTTGGTGATTTTTCGCACGAGAGAATTCACGTTAATAATAATAATTTTCGATGGGTTTTTGTTTTTTTTGCAAATTTTTATTCGATTCAAAATAAATTTGGTTTAATAATTGTTACCGTCGCCATATTGGTTTAAACAAACTTGAAAATTTTTTTTTTACTACTACGTTATTCAATAAAGCGCTTGAATTTTTTTTATTATTATAATAACTGCGTTAGTCAGTTGAGGTTTTAAAAATATTTTTTTTTGTTTATTGTTGTCGGTTGATGGGAATAAATAATAATTAATTTGGATTAATTCGACGTGATGACAATTTTTTTTTGGTGGAATCGAATAAAAAAGGTTTAATATTTCTCGTTAATCTTTAACTTATGACGACAAGAATTGTTATGATTATCCTTTTTTTTTTCTCCAGTTAAAAAAACTGGAGGGATTTTATTTTTTGGATTTTTTCTCGTTTTTTTTTTGGTTTCGAATGAGTATGGATTTTTTTCTCTCTCTCTTTTCGAATTCATGTTTTATTTATTCGTATTTAAATTTCTTTTTTTTCATTTCCTTTTTCATTCCATTTTCCCCCCTCCCCTTTCCCAATTTTTTCCTTTTTTGCCACTTGAAATTTTATTAAAAATTTTTTTTATTTTTTTTAAAAAGAAAAAAAAAATTTTTTTTTCCATTTTCAGAATTTCACAATGATGATAAAGTTTTGGATAATTTAAAAATTGAATATCCGAATAAATGTCACGTGAGAGATGTGAAAGTGTCCGAAAAACACCCGAAAATAAGAGAAAAAGAAGAAGGAGGAGAAGAAGGATGCGAAAAGGTGAAAGAAAAAGTAGAAAAAGATGAAGAAGATGAGGATGATGACGAGGACGACGACGAGGAGGAGGAAGACGATGATATAATAATACCGGAAAAAGACTGTTATAAGACTGAGGAAAGAATAAAAGAAGAAAATGGAGGAGTGGGAAGGGTTGATGGCGGATCGGGTTGTTCATCATCCGAACTCGATTTTGGTAAAAAGAAAAAGAGAAAAACCGAACAAGAAAAACTAATAGCTAGTCTCAACCAAACGGAATTGACACACGTTGACGGTGCCTTTAAAAGAAGTACAACAATCAGGTATAATAATTTAAACGAGGATAAACTATTGGATAATTTGTTCGACAGTCGATCGGGTAAACCGAAAAGATCAAGTGGTAAAAAAATGATGATCGTGTGCTGTGAAGAAACGAATGAAAACAACGCGAACAATGGCGACACGATGGAAAGTAAAAAAAAACGGAAAACGAGTTGCTGCGGGGATAATAATGACGGAAACGGAAACGGAAACGACGACAGTATTGCCAACGTCGGCGGCAACAGTCGCGGCGGTAGTTTGCCGGAAATTCGCGGAGAAACGTGTGAAAAATCCGTGAGTGATGTGAAAAAAATGTCGGGAGAAGTTAAAAAGAAAAGAAAAACGGAAAAGGAAAAACTAATTGAAAATTTATCCGCGATCGAAAGGATTCACGTCGATGGAGCTTTTAAAAGAAACGTTTTTAACATTTTACTCATGGGTTCCAAAAACAACAACAACAACAATAACGGTTACGGAAGTAACAAAAAACAAAACAATAACGATGGAGTGAATAAAAACAGGAATGCCAACAACAATAGTAAAAATAATAAAAACAATCGTGATTTAATTAATTCAAGTTGGTACGAAGAGGAAAAGGTGGTTAACATGTCGTCTGCAAATGACAACAATAGGAAAATGACAAAAATATTCAGTCCGGTTAAATTTTTAGGAATCGATCGAGATATCGAATCGCTTATAAGAGATAAAGCAACAGGTTACGCCACATAAATATTATTTATAAAAATTTTTAATTCGCACAAAAGGGACGATTCGTGATTAAAACAAAAAACAAATATGGCGTCGTTTTACTTCGTAGTTCCTAAAATAAAATAAATTATTTGTTTCCAACATTAAAGTTTTAAGTTTCGCCATTTTATTGGTTTTTTCTTTGCGTTTCGTGTCGCGTGAGGAAAACAAAAAACCGGAAACAAATAATAATAATGATGATGATGATGATAATAAAATAATTATAAAAACGGAGAAAAATCATTCAAGTCGCTAACGACGGTTATTTTTTAAACTTTTCAAATTCCGTTAATTCCGGAACGTTTTATTTATCTATTTTTTAAATTTTAACTTTTCTCGCGGTTTTTTCTACTTTTAAAACTGAAAAAAACGGTTTCGAACAATTTTTTTCCTTATTTTTCCCTGTTGAAAAAATAAAATGTAAAAAAAAAACGCAAAAACAGGATACGAAAAAAAATTTTTTTTTTTTTTACCCCCGTTCTCAATTCTCGGAATACTTATCGCCATCTTTTACGCGATCACGTGATTTGAAAAGAGTGTGTTAGTAGTCGAGGGGAAGGGAAAATGGCAACAATGGAAAAAAAATTTACCGTCGTCCTTGACGTCGTCGTCGTCGTCGTCGTCGTCTCGCTAACGAAAAAGAAAAATAATAATAATGATGATGATGATAATGATGAAAATCATTATATTCGAATCGTTTTTTTTCCTCCCTACCTACCCCCCTTCCTCCCGTTTCAACAAGAATTTTTATTTTATTTTATTTATTATAATTGTTGTATTCGTTAAATTCGACTGATTATTAAACGTATAATGAAAGTTTTATTATTATTTATTACCGCGATATATATGTAAATATAATTTTAAATATTTATTTATTCATTATTATTATTATTATTATCGTTATTAAAATAATCATAATCGTTTTTGAAATAATAATAATAATAATAATCAATAGTAATAATGATAATTAATGTTAGATTTAAGATTCATCACGATTATTATTAAAAACAAATTAAGTTTTATAAATTTTATGAAAAAAAAAAAAAAAAAATTGAATTCGCTCAAATTTTTTTTGAATTTGTTCTTCCATTCCAATTTCCCCTCTTTCATTGTTACCTCATCCCCTTAATTTTGTCTCCACCATTTTGTTCTTCTCATTCCACTTCCCCTCCGTTTTGTTTGATGACGTAATCGCGGCAAAACCAAAAATTCATAAGGAAATGCATCAAAAATTTTTTTTTCTCAATACCAAATTAGTATTAAACGAATTTTTGACGGGTTCGGGTGTTTTTCATTCGCGAGTGTTTAATATGTTTATTATTATTTTAATTCAATATTAATCGCGTTGTGACGTTTTTTTTTATATAAATATTAAATTAAATTAAATGTAATGTAATAATTAAAATTGTTTAAGTGTAAAATTGCTTTTGGAAAGATTAAAAAAAAAAAAAAAAAAAACCGGTAAGTGAAAAAAATTTTCATTTTCAATTTCTCACACCATCAAGATTTAACGGGTAATTATCTATCTTTTATAAAAAAAAAGGTTTTAATTAATTTTTATATTTATATATTTTAAATAAATAAATAAATAAGTCAAATACCCATAAAATTATTTTTTATTAAAATTATTTTACAAATTTTATATTAGGTTTATTTTATTATTGTTATTATCATTTCTATACAAAATAAATATACACGGGGAGAAAATGAAAAAAAGAAAATTAATTATTTTTTTAAAATTTTTTAAATATAAATCATTCAATCAATCAATCAATCAATCATTAAATCGATGAATAAATCAATAAGATAAATGAACAATTTCCAATTTGATTAACGTAGTGAATTTTTTATAACCGTATGAAATTTCTATACATTCTTTTTCATTGTTGAAGTTTTTTCGGAATAAAAGAGGAAGGGGGAAGAACGAGAGAGAGAGAGAGAGAGAGAGAAGGAAGTACAGTTTCTGTTTTAAAGTGATTGCGCGAGAGAGAGAGAGAGAGAGAAAGAGAATCAGAAAGACAATTATTGTTTCCAAGAATTCGAAAGGGAGGGGAAATTAAGTCACGGGAAAAATGAGATAAATAGAAAGAGAGAGAAATAGTCAGACAAAAAGAGAAAGAGAGGTAGCCGATAGGTGCGTGTGCGAGTGTGAGTGAAAGATATTGAGACAGTGCGACAGTGTAAAAGAGAGAGAGAGAGAGAGAGAGAGAGAGAGAGAGAGAGAAAGCGATAATTTGTCGACGAGAAATTAAAATACTGCTTGTGTGAGAGTGAGAGAGAAAGAGAGAATGAGAAAGACAATGAGTAAGAAAGGGAAAGTAAAAAAAAAAAAAAAAAATTTATTAATTTTGCTTATACAGCTTTTTTTGTTTTTTTGAAACCGTCATTTCTCTCTCTCTCTCTCTCTCTCACACTCATACAAATTATTATTTTCTTTTATCTCTTTTCTTTTTCTAATTCATTTACATTCGACACGCAAAAGTTTTATAAAAAGTTTTGCAAAGTTTTTTTTTTTTTTTTTTTCACACGAATAATAATAATGATAATGATAATAATAATAATGATAATGATAATAATACTAATGATAATAATAATAATTAATGAAGAATGAAATGAAAGAGAAAAAGTTTTTTTCGTTTGTTTGTTTGTTTGTTTTTTTCGGTGTTCGCCATTAATGACGTATAAATTATATAATTTGATTATATTAAATTTAAAATTTAAATGTTTTTTTGTGTTGTTTTGTTTGTTTTGTTTGTTTGTTTGTTTTTTTTTTACACGTCGAAAACAATTTGTTTTAAAAAATTTTATCGTTTGTTTTTTTTTCGGATTTCGAGAGGGGGTTTTAGGAAGTGTTTGTTTGTTGTTGTTTGCTTCTAGAGAGCGGTCACGGTTACATCCGGAAGATTTTTTTCTTCGGTTGGTACCTTGATGTGAATGTGTCTAAGGCTCGTTCCGCTTCTCCTGGACGTCGTTAAAGTTTCCGTTACAGTCGCTGAACGAAAACTTTTTTCCGGTGAGTCTGCCATATTTGTGAACCATCGAAATGGTGGAACTTTCCTGAGAATCAATTAAATTAACGTACGAGAATTTTCTTCGACGAAAATTTAACAAAAGGTAAAAAAAAAAAGCTAAAAATTTCTCCCTTCCCTCCCTCCCCCTCCCCCCCCCAAAAAAAAAGGAACGGGATGATCGATGACGGTTATAAAATAAATATTAATTACCTGAGAGTTCTGCAAAGCCTGTTTGAAAATGCGCAGTATATCAATGGATTTGCCGCGGAATTGAGTGGAGCCAAACTCTGTATGAGTGTTGCCGTTGCGACCGTCGTTTGCGTTCTCGGCAAATATTCGAAAACTTGAAGTAAATCGAATATGAAATACGGACTCCAGCAAAGTATAAAAACTGGAAAACGAAAGAAAAAAAAAGAAAAACAAAGAAAATTTTTTTCTCGTTGAGTTTCACTAATCATTGTAAAAATTCAAAATCACCGCCGACTGCGACGAAATTGATTTGCGTACCGAAAACTATGACAAACGTCATTTTAACCGTTTTTATTTTCGCTCTCGGTATAAGTCCTCTGGAACTTGCTCTTCTTCCGTCCAAATCGTCATTTCTCATTCTCGATCGATTGAACGATTTCGATTTCATATCTGATGTGAGAAAAAAAAAAAAATTTTTTTTTTTTGGCAAGGAAGTGACGTCATGAATGCCATTTTCCTCTCAAGAGAAATGGACTTACTTGATTTGTACGTCGACGAATGAGTCAAAAGTTTTCCTTTGCTCCAAATTGTAAAAACGATGATCGTGTAACAAGCGGATATAATTATGGCGGGTAAAAAAAATAATACGATGGAAATTAGTGTCATGTATATTTGCCATTGCCAAGGTTCGTCGAATTCTATCCAGCACTGGACGCGAGCTTGGAAAACAAAAAAAAACAAAAATTAAATTATTATTATTATTATATTGACTCATGATGGCGACGATTCGTCTTAATGTTTGTCGGATTCGCTACCCGTCGATCCCTAAGGAATACAGGCGTGAATATCAGTGATGATGCTGCTGCATGCCTGATGAATAGGTTTCGTCTTGTTACAACCTATGACATCACAACAATTCTTGTTGGTCTTCCCGAGACCATCTTATTCGACGAGACTTATTATTATTATAAAAAAAAAGGGTCGAAGGTTAAAATGTAAAATTACCTTGAATGTATCTTTCCTTGTAGAGTATTATCATGGGTATCGAGAAAAGTATGCTGAAACTCCATGCGAGTATCACCAAAACTCGAGCTCTTCTTGCTGAATAAGAAAATAATAATAATAATAATAATAATAATAATATCATTAATGATGATGATGATGATGATGATTAGAAGAAAAAAAAGGCGGGAAAATTTAAAAATTTTTTAAAATTATTTATGAATCGTTTAAAATTTTACCCGGGTAATTTTTTTTACAACGATTTCGACGATTCATTTAAACAAATATTTGACCTTTTGACCTTTTTAATCATCGAAAGAAAATTTTTTTTTTTTTTTTTTATTAAATAGAAAAAGATAAAATAAATTTCCTTAATATATATAAAAAAAAAAAAAGAAAAAAAATTTCGAACGATCAGAAAAAAATTAAATGATGTGAATGATGGACCCGGATGTGTTTGCTGATGTTGTCGCTGTTGGTGACGGGCCTTTGTTTCCCGACTAATATTTTTAACAAGTTTTTTTTTTTTTTTGTGACGAAAGTTGTCGAGATGATTTATTTATTTTTGGGGGTTTGTTATATGAAAAAAAAAAAAAAAAAAAAAAAAAAAGTAAAAATGATGGAAAGACGAAGAAAAATCAAGTGTCTGATGACTGTTTTTTTTTTTGGAATGAGAGGATTTAGAAACCGTCAGTAGTTTGTTAACTTTTCGCCCTCGTCGTAAGGAGTAGGAAGAAGAAGAGTAAGGGGAGAAGAAGAAGAAGAAGAAGACGACGGAAGGAAGAAGGGAAAAAGTTTCGAAACTTTGAAAATTTTTTATGATTGATCGAAATTTTTTTTTTTTTTTTTTTTTGCATCACTACTAAAACGGTTCGAAAAAAAAAGAAAAACATTTGAGCCACGATTTTCTTTCTTTTTTTTTTTTTTTTTATCTATATTCATCTTTTTCCCTTTTTCTCTTTTGGTACTTTTTTACATCTTTCTGCGCCTCCCCCCCCCCCTCAGCGTTCAACCTCCCTCCCCCTCAGTGTTCAACCTCCCTTCATATTAACGTAAAAATCAGGCCGCGACATCAAAGCCCTCATGATTGTTTTTTTTTCCTTCGCGTACAAAATGCCTAAACAATAATTTGAAGGCGTTTTTTTTTGTTTTACCATTTTTTTTTTTTTTTTTGTTTCGAGAAGAATTTTTTTTAAAACGTTCGATACGGAGGACGAACGAAAGATAATAATATTAAAAACGGAAAACAGAAAACAAAGTTAAAAAACTCGTAATTTTTAATCTAATATTGTATATATCAAGGATTTTTTCTCGGGAAATCGGGCGATGTAAACGGTTTAGGAAATGACATTTAAAAAAAAAAAAACCATCTAGAATGTCAGTTACAGACAAGACGTCGTTATCAACTGGATTTAATAAACAAGACAATGATGGAATACACGAACTGTCTGATTTATTATGTTTCTTCCATACAACTTTTTTTTTCAAATTGTATTATTAAAAACATCACAAATCGGACGAAATTTAATTTCTTTTCTTTTTTTTTTTTTTTATAAGGAAACCGAAAGAAACTCCCCCCCCCCTCAAATAAATAAATAAATAAATTTTTCTTTTTTTCTTTTTATTTATTTATTGTAATTTTATTTCGTGATCGATAACGGAGGGGGTGGGGAAAAACAAAAGCTAGTACCCACAACTGGAAAATTTAATTTCTTTTTTTTTTTTCCCTTTTTGCAGAGAAACATCTGAGAATGGTAGGATGGGGAAGGGGGAGAGAGGGAAAAAAAATTTACTCACAACTTCCTGAAAAATTCATCGGATGTGTTATGGCATCGTATCTGTCTATGCTCAACGCAACGAGAACATATGTTGATGAATATATAACGACAGCTTGTAGAAATCTTATCATTTTACATCCGAGATTGCCGGCGTGCCACGTGACCGTCATTCTCCATATTATATCCGTTAATACGTAAAAAATTCCAACCGTTAAATCTGTAACAATGAAAAAGTACGAGAAAAAGGATGAGACTGCGGATATAACAGGTAAGAAAAAAAATTATTATTATTATTATTATTTTCTTTTTTTTGTGCACGAAAAGAGACACAACAACAAAACCATCCAATAAAAATTACGATGCGAGAACAGCCCCCATCGACAAACCTTATATATATATATAAATTACATAAATATTATTTTGTTTAAATAATTAAAAAAAAAAAAAATTTCTTTTTAAATATGATATGGGACCCACATGAACACCTTCCGGCCATTTTTTGATTCGTTTCTAACAATTTTTTTTTTTTTTTTGGGAGGGGGAAATATAAAAAACTCGCGAGTTCTCATATTAATACATACTCGTGATGATATCAATTTACGTTGTCGTCGTTATACCTAATTATCCGCATGTCGTTTAAATAAATTTTTTAATTAAATTTTCAAACTTGATAATGTTAAAAAAAAAAAAAAAAAATACAGTCGTACCAACTTTGTTTTTTTTCGGTTTTTCGTGTGGGAGGTCGTTCGAATTGTAAAAAAAAAAAAAAAAAAAAAATGGCGGAAATTTATTTCGAAAATCAAAGTAAAAATTATTTTAGATGCCCGTGTGTGCGTGTAAAAGGAAAAAAAAGGAAAAAAAAATGAATAAATCGATGATGCGGTTGAATAAAAAAAAAAACAAAAGGAAAACGAAAAGGAAAAGGAAAACCAAATGGAAAAGTGTAATTAAATTACGTAATCAGATTATTTATGAAATGAAAATTTCTTGTCGCGCACACACCACTTTTAAATGATAAAACAAAATTTATTTTTACATCTTTTCACGCATGGTTTATTATTTGTTTTTGTAAAATTTTCCACTGTTCACACCGCGGTTAAAATCTATTCATTCATTCATTCATTCATTTATTTATTTATTTATTTGGGTACGTAGTCAAAGGAAAATAAAAATAAAAAAAAGGAAATAAGAGGGAAACGCTCGGAAAAAAAGGAAATTCGTTTTAAATAAAAATAAAGAAGTATTTCCCCCTCCAAACATTTTTTTTTTTTTTAAATCATGAAGGTATCATTATTATTAAATGATTAGGCGTTAAATAGAGAGAGAGGGGGGAGGGGGGGAGGGAAAGAAAGTTGTTTCGAAAATAATAATAACTTTTATTATAATCGGGTTAAATCAAACGGTACGAATAAAGTAATGAAAAAAACGTAAAATAAATTTCGATGTTAATTAACCGAAACGAAAAAGGTTTAGAAAAATTAAGAAGTAAATTGATTGGTTTCTTTTGTAATGCCGATCGTTTTAAATAAAATACGTCATAAATCTGTCAAAAAAAAGAAAAAAAAAAAATGAAAATTATTAATGTTTTGAAAACAAGAGTCGGACAAAATTAAATGTATAATAATTTTTAAAATGTGTCTGTTCAAAATTTTCAAATAAACTTTGACGAATTAAAAAACTTCTTTTTTTTTTTTTTTTTTTAAACAAAAGCAACGAACGAAAAAGTTGTTGAAATATTTTTTTTTTTTTTTAAATTTTTGATGACGTCAATCGAAATATTTTTTAATATGTCGTCGATCAATGGATATCATATATATATTTAAAAAAAATTTTTTTTAAAAATCCTATTAATAAGAAATAAATATAAGGGAAGTGAAAGAGAGAAAAAGAAAGACAGTGGGAGTAGATAAAAGAAAGAAGAAAATAAGAAACGGAGAAAAAAAAAAAAATGATACGATGAAAGAAAAAGAAAAAGAGAGAGAGGGGGGAGGGGGAGAAGAAAACATCAAAAGAAAATTTTCCCCTATTTTTTTAAATCCGTTTTTTGTTTTAAAAAAAAAAAAAAAAAAATCTAAAAGGAAAACGCATTATTACGAAGTAGGAGAGTAAAGAGAATCGTCAAAGGAAAAAAAAAAAAAAAAAAATCAGATGTAACGAAACGGAAATCAAAAAAGGAAAGAAAAAAGGAAAAAAAAAGTAAAAGGAAACGCTACGTTTATAAATTTATATATAAGTACATATTTCATTTTCCTTTCGTGAACGTTTTTATTACGGTTTTCTAAAAAAAAAAAAAAAAAAAAATTATCTTTTTAACTCGATCGTGTCTTTACGTACGCGTTTTCTCGTCGCCTTGCACGTGCACACACACGCACACGCACACGCTCCGTGAAATTTTTAAAAAGGAAGGAAAAAAATTATTATTATTATTATTATTATTATTATTATTATTATTGAAACTCACCGGCCAATGCCAATTGCATGATGAAAAAATTCATTCTCGATTTTCTTTTCTGATCCAAAAACAATGCAATTAAAACGGTCGAATTACCGACGACGATTAATACGAAAAGAGTCCATAAAACGGCAAATTGCTCTTTCTGCAACGATAAAAAAAAATAATTTATTTTATTACTCTATGACGAAAGGAATGAAAATTATTTATTTACTCTAAGATTAGTTAAAAATATAAACAAAATTTTTAACGTTTATTTCTCGTACGTTATCCGTGCAACGATGATGATGATGATTGCATCGCTAATAATTGATTTATTTATTTATTTTTTGTCTATTTCCACGTCATTTATTATTATTAACGCAACGTTAAATAACGTTAACGTGTATATTTTCTATTAAACAAAAAAATGATAATAATAATAATAATAATAATAATAATAATTTTGAAAATTTTCAAGTTCATCGTACGTTTTTGTTTTTTTCTATTTAAAATTTGTAACAAGTGGCTGTCGGTTAAAAATAAAAATAAAAATAGGAGGGGGGGGGGGAAAAAAAAAACGTTTTTCTTGTCTTCCGCCATTTGTTATACATTAATTTTTGATCGAAACCAAAAGTTTTTTTTTAAAAAAAAAAAAAAAAAAAAATGCCGTCGGTCTCGTAAATTTTTCAAAAACCGACGCCATTTTCTTGCCAAATTTTTATTATTATTATTTTTTTTTTTACAAATCATCCAATTATTGTTTAACAATTAATTGATTTTTTATATTTTTTTTAAAAACAATTTTAATTTCCAGGTAATAAAATTATTTTTATTATTATTATTATTATTATTATAAAAACGTTAACGTTTTTTTTTTTTTTTTTTTTTTTTTTGTGCGCGTCACAAACGTTTTAAAATTTTTACATATAAATTTTATAATTTTATAATTTTTTTTTTTTGTAAAATGATAATTTAAAAATGGGGTTAAGAGGATGAATGTTAAGTGTTAATAAACTATTGTTAATGATAATAATTTTTTTTTTTTGAATTAAATTAAAATTAAATTGTTCGACCGAATTAAATTTAAATTTAAATTAAAAAAAAAAAAACAAAAATTTTTACCGTGACAAACGCGGCAGAAACGTTTTTTTTTTTTTAACACAAAAAATCGAAATCGGACACAGAAGGGTTGTCGTAATATTAATAATAATAATGATAATAATAATAATAATAATGATCGTATAACGAGGGGTTTCGCAAAGGACAGTAAAAAAAAAAAAAAATTCGTATTTGATTATAATTAAAAATGAAATTACAAAATCGTTAAAAACATCTTTTTCCGGTAAAATTTAAGTTCCACTTGACGAAAAAAAAAAAATTCGGGATGACCTATAGAAAAACCTTTTTACGATTTCACAGAATCCTTTTGCAAAAAAATTTCGCGTATGCGATTAATATGCCCCCGCCCCCCCAAAAAAACAAAAAAAACGGTTTACGTATATTTACGAGGTCGATAAACTCGGTTTTTGGATAAGACAGAGGACGGAAGGAATAAAAAGAAGAAAAAACAACGAACGAAAGTAATAATAATAATAATAATGATGATGATAATAATAATAATAATAATAATGATGATAATAATAATAAAGGCGGGCGATTGTGTATGTTTTATATTTATAAAAAGTTAAAAACCTATTGACAACAAACGATGGGGGGTGGATGGATGGGTGGGTGGGTGGAAATTGTTGGGATCAAAGCCAAAGGAAAGTGAAAAAAACGAAAAAAAAATTCACCCACGTGAAATTAAAAAAAATTTCAATGGGAATAATAATAATAATAATAATAATAATAATAATAATAATAAAACGTGTACATGAGTTCATAAACACGGGTGAATTATTAAATATAATAATAATAATAATAATAAAAAGGAAAAAAGTTAAAGAATTTTATTTAATTAATAATAATAATAATAATAAATAAAAATGTAAAAAAAAAATCTTATGACGTCACAATTTTATTTTTCAAATCTCGAAAAATGATAATAAAAAAACAGTTGAAAATTTTAAATTTTACGGTTTTGTGGTCGAGTGCTTTTTTTAAAGTTTTCCTTTTTTTCCTTTTTTGCTTCTTCCTACTTGAAATAATTAAATTTATTAAAAAATGAAAAAAGGAAAACCTTTTTCAGAATTTTTGATAACATTTTGTTCTTAAAAAAAAAAAAAAGAACAAAAAAAAAATAAAATGAAAAAAGAAATTAATAAAAATTTATATATATATATTTGTTTTGTTCGTTTGTTTGTTTGTCGTCATAGTTGTCATAGTTGTTGTTGTTCTTGTTGTTATTGTCCTTCGATGAAGAAGAAAAAGAAGAAAAAAAAGAGAGAGAAAATACACAAAAATAAAATAATTTTTTTTTTTTTTTCTGTACAAATCATCGAACGTGATTATTACTTATTGTTTGGTTGTATTATGAATTGTGACGTAACTATTACAACAAACAACAATCGGCGAAAAAAAAAAAATTTCTACCCCCCACCGCCCCCTGTCTCTCTCTCTCTCTCTCTCTTCTCTCTTTCATTAAAAATTAACATTTGTATGACTTTAAAATTGTTTGTTTGTTAGAACTTAAACTTTACTTAAAAATTAATGAAAAAAAAAATTTCCTTTTTTTTTTTTTTTTTTTTTTTTTTTATTCTCGAATGAATAGAACAAAATGAAAATGTTTTATGTAACGAACTGAAAAAAAAAAAAAAAAAAAAAAAATTTTTTTTTTTTTTTCCATTCAACGTTAAAAAAAATTTTTTTATTTAACTCATTTTTCTTTATTTTTTTTTTTTTGTCTCTTTTTCTTTCATTATTTCCTTTAAATATGTCTCTCTCACTCTCTCTCTCTCTCTCTCTCCCTTATTATATAAAGAAAAAATTCTCCAGTATATACAATGGAAATAAAAGAAAGAAAAAAAAAGTTAAATGTAACTTGATTCATTGATGGCGGTTACTGAAAAATTTTTTACTTTTTTTTTTCCAACAAGAACACATTTTTTTTTTTTATTTTTAAATTTGTCACACCGATGTCGTTTTCCGGTTTGTAAATTGAGATAAACAAACGACAAACGAACATGACGTACCACCGCAATTGTTTGTTTGTTAATCGATTCGTATTCATGACGTCACAATTCAAATTCGTATCTGTTGACGTTTTTTCTCTCGTCGAATTTTTATTATTATTTTCATTATTATTATTATTTATTTTTAAACAATTTTTTTTTCTTTTTTTCTTACAGGCTTTCTTTCATCTTTGACATCGTTTCGATATTAATAATAACAAACAAACGAAAGAAGAAAAAAAAATTCACCATTATTTTGAATCGTTCCTGTCGTCGACAGCAAATAGAAACGTTGTCGATTCTTTTGAATTGAATACTTTAGACAACAAAAAATAAGGTACGCAAATCATTTTTTTTTTAATAAAAAACAAACAAAACAAACGAAAGAAACATAAAATAAAACGAAATTAGACGGATTTTTATAGTTGTTAATAATAATTACGAATGACGTCAAATAATATCTATAAAAAATTTAATTATCGAGTCGTGTATAAAAAAAAAAAATTATTATTATTATTATTATAATATTATATATTATTATTATTTTTTTTTTTTTGGTAAGGGGGTATTTAACATAAGTAATAAATCACAGGTGCACA